TGGATATAGAATCTGTGGATATGGAGGATCAACAATATTTTACTTGTATGCTTCCACTCACAATGCAAATTGCAATTCTTATGGATGGGTGAGAGGCTATTTTACAATACTGTGGATAGAAAGGGCTGTGATCTTCCACTTGGCTTCAACAAGACAGATTTCATTATGAAGGATTCTAGAGCCTGATTCAAACCCTAGAAAATTAACATTGTAGTGGAAGGCTTGCCTCAGCAAGAACAACATCAATATTCAATCCATTCCAAAATGATGTGAAACAATCAAAGTATCAAGAAAATAACAAGCACTATAGAACAATTCTCTACATAATTTCTGAGTACAGTTCTGCTATATTTATGTAAGAAAAAAGCTATTCCTAACTCTGCACTCCCATCTAGTGGAAACAAAATATACTCAAGCTCGTTGTCCTAGTTTCAACCTCAGTTCAGTTCATCTCTAGAAGAATACTTTGCTTTAGTGCCGACTGAACAGCAGCAACAGCTGCAGCAGCCGGAGTCCCTCAGATGTAGCCTCCCAGAAGAAGAATCATGATTCCTCGGGCAGCTTTCAAAAGTTGATGAGCTTTCAAAAGTTGATGACAAGGGCTGCCATGGTAATTCTGGCAGTCTCTACAAAGAGAACATAGCAGAGAAACAAGGCACAAGTAGCAAGTGCACCAACAAATGCTAGAGGGTTTTTTCGCTTAAGGTTAGTAAATGCCACTCGTATCCACAGCATTCATTTTGGACACTCATGTACCCACACATAACAGCCAATACAGTCATTGAGAGGTGATAGGATAGCCATTCTTGGTGTTGTGTGCCTTCAATATGTTTCCAACTTATGGCAACCCTAGGGCAAGCCTATCATGCCAGTCATCTCAGATTTCACTGGGAAAGTGGGTGAACTGTGGGTCCAGGATTCTAAAACCAAAACCCTATTTGGTGGACTTCAAATAGGATAGGATGATTAGCCAGTGTGGTATAGTGTTTGATGCTGAGACTAGGACTCTGACAGGCTAGGGTTCAAATCCTTGCTCTGTCAAGGAAACCCAATGGGTGACCTTGGACAAGTCACACTCTCTCATCCCAAGAGACAGGCAATGGGAAACCTCCTCCTCTGATAGAGTTGCCATAGGTTGAAGGCAAGTCCATGTTGATCCTCCCTTAGCCAGAATTTTAAAAACCTCCCAAAACTATAACTTTTTTCATGGGTGGCTGAAATAGTGACACCTTTGTTTTCTGATGGTTCAGTGTAACACAAAATTGGTTTCATGCACAAAATTATTTAAAACATTGTGTAAAATATTGTATACCTTTACCTTTACCTGTAAAGTTACCTTCAGGTTATGTATATAAGATGTATAGGAAACATAAATAGTCCCATCACTAAGATATCTCATTATGTACGTATATGTACAAATAAGAGTATTTCAAAATCCAAAAATACCCAAAATCAAAAAAAAAAATACTTTTGGTCCCAAGCATTTTGGTTAAGGGAGACTCTACCTGTAACAAAAAAGGATCTTTGTATCTAGGCAGAGATCTAGGCAGATGAGGGCAAGTAGCCAAATGGCAGCATGAGAGAGCTCTCTCAGTGTATCTTCACAGCCAGTCAGTGGCTATTTGGGTCAGATGGTGGAGCTGTATTTGGCATCTGTCTTGCATCTGGAGCTGTATTCAACATACATTAAAAAGTGTTTGATGCCTCCTTGTGTGATTCTGGCCCAAGCAACATTGAAAGCCCAGTCTCAGATATGAAACTGATTGTCAGGAAAGCATTACATTTTATGGATATTTGCTGTTTTGTTTTTATTTATGTCTCAATATAATTAATGAGCTCATTGATCACATAAAAGCACCTTTGGCACCCAGAGCTGGCAGCTACATAGGACCAATGATGTATATCTACTAATTGTGAGTGTGTGTATGTATGTGCCTTCTATTCCCCCATCAGCTTATGGTGACCCCATGAATTTCATGGAATTTTCTTAGCCAAGAAATATTCAGGGTGGTTTTGCCATTTCCTTCCTCTGAATACTACCTGCAAATATGGAAAGGCATGCTGTCCTACCCTTGTTTCCAGCAACAATGGTGACAGCGAAACAGAAGACAAAGAAAGAGAAAGAGAAAAAGATTATGAAATATCAAGACCTATTAAGCATCTCTGGGAAAAGAAAACAAATGTAGTTTCAGTACTGATAGATGCACTGGGAGCAATTCCAAACAGACAACATCTGAATTAAATCGTGATAGATAAGATCACGTAGCAGTTACAAACAATGGCACTGCTTGAAACATGCCACATTATCTGACAACATCTCAATGATCTGTAGATTCTTGGGGAGAATCGAAATCATTGATGGTCCAAACCTCTAGACAATAACACCTCATAGATCATGAAGCTGAAATAACAAAAACATATTCCCTGCTCATACATCTTCCACGTTTGCCATCTCTACTTACTATGACTTTCAGCAGCTGGGCTGAAAGTACAACATTCTTCTGTCACCTGAGGTGGAAAAAGTGCCACAACTTCCACCATATTTACTGATCATGCCAGCTCTACATGAAGAGGTGCTGGCTAGTTAAAGGAAGTGGCACTTCTTTACATCAAGAGTGGACAGTGATAGCAACAAGGAGAAGCTCAGTGAGCAAGTATTGGGTGACCTTGGTCAAGTCACACTCTTTCAGCCTAAGAGCAAGGAAATGACAAACTTGCTCTGAATAAATCTTGGCCAGAAATTCTGATGACAGGATCATCATAAAGGACCCAACAACAATAACCTGGGCAAGCCAATACTCCCCTGAAGCTAAATCTCACTTTAATTGCTGTTGCACAGCCACAATAACAACACCTCCAGACCTAAGCAAATTTCCTTTTTAAAACCACAGCTCCTACAGTTCTATCAGTCAGCATGCCATGCTGAGTGTGGATTCTGAGAGATGTAGTCTTTGAGCACCCACACATGCATGCGCCCTCCCTCCCACACACAAATCTGTCACATAGGAAGTGCTCCATGATTAACAAGAGAGGCAAGGTGAAGTCTATAGGTCTATATGTATGTGCTTCAAGTCTCCTATTGACTTATGATGACTTCATGATCTGTCTGTTATCTGTTGTGTGCCTTCAAGTCATTTCTGACATGGCAACCCTAAGGTGAAGCTATCATGGGGTTCTCTTGGCAAGATTTGTTCAGAGGAGGTTTCCCATTGCCTTCCTCTGAGGCTGAGAGTGTGTGACTCAACCAAGGTCACCTATTGGCTTTCATGTCCAAGCTGGGAATCAAACCCTGGTCTTAAGAGTTCTAGTCCAATACACAAGCCACTATGCCACGCTGGCTTTCTGACACCATGATATCACCTACAAAAACACAATACAGTCTGGAGTAAAGGATTGCCTCACAATCCTAGGTTTAATTTAAAGAAACAAACTGAAGTATTTGGATCAAGCACATTCTTGAGAAAGAAAGACTTGTAATTGAAAAGACAAAGGATTTATGCAATTTAAATAATTGAAAAGAAGAGGCATTTGTTGAGTAGAGTGTTTGAAATGGACCTCTGTGAGATCGAACACTGAGAGCACTGTGCTGGAATAAATTTCCTGACTGATTTGTAGACTTGCACTTGGTGTAGTAGTTTCAGCACTGGTCTACAACTCTGGAGATCAGGATTCGATTTGCAGCTTGGCCATGAAATCTGCTGGGTGACCTTGGGGCCACCACATTCTCTCAGCCTCAGAGGAAGGAAAAGGAAAGCCTTTTCAAACAAATCTTGCCCCATGATGGGCTCACTTTTGGGTTGCCATAAGTTGGAAACAACTTGAAGGCACAGAACAACAACAACAACAACAACAAACTCAGATGTAGTATACTCTGGCCTAGAGAACCAGGCTTCAAGCATTTAAGATTGAAGATAGCATATTTTGGGGTGTCTAGCTAGAAAGCTATCCAGTGAAGCTACCTAATTTTTCATCACAGACTACTACTCAACAAGCTCAAATGTTTTGAATATTTGCAGAAGAATTTCAGATGAATCTTGAGGTTTACCAGAATTTTCTGAAATATCCCACTGTATCTCTTAACGTTGTTATCAATATCTGTCAGGTTTCTCATAGTTATCATTGCACAGGCACCATCACACAAGAAAGAAATGTGGTTAAATAATATATTCTTCCCAGTTTGAACAATTGGGGATGATTATTTAATATTTATTGAAATATGTAACTAACTTTGTTGAGCAGAGAGCGATTGAACAAGATTAAATAAATAATCTCTTTAGGTATATTTGTTTAATATCAATAATTTATCCTATATTTCAATGGGGCAGATCATATTGCATTAATACAATCCATCTGTAGAAGATCATATTACAAGAGCTGCTAGCCCAGTCATTAATTATTGTAGTACACTTTTGATTCAAGATTTATTGCACCAATTTTTAATAAATGCATGCTTGATTTAAGATTATCATAGTGAGAAATGTATTAATATTTAAATATATTTGATGCCTCATTTGGCACAAGTAATAACACTTCTTGCATAATGACCATTCTAGATTTTTCCTGCATTCTGCTAATGCAAATGAATGATTTCAATAGCCACTATTATATAGTTGTCCCTCCGTTTTTGCGAGGGATCCATTCTGGACCCCTTGCAAAAATGGAAATGCACATATATTCAAAGCCCATTGATTATAATGGATGTGCGTTCCTGCGTGCAGCCGTGTACGTGCGCCATAGGCACGCACACAATTTTAATCCCTCTCCATCTTGCTGTTGCAAAAAGCAAAACCGCGGTTTCCAAACCCGCAAATTAGAAGGGACAACTGTATTGAATTATTCCTGAAATGATGGTTGTCAGAGAGAAAAATGTAGGGAAAAATAGCTTTAGACCTAAACAATTTAGAGGGATGATACATGTCAGCAACAAAGTTATGCAAGAAGTGTGAGAACAGCATAAAATTAATTATACTTCATTATATTTAATTACATGCTGATCTCGAGAGTCCTTGTAGGCTGGATGGAGGGCATGATGTACAGCTGCGTCCACACTGTAAAAATAACCTGGTTTGACACCATTTTAGCTACTATGGCTTCGTACTATGGAATCCTAGGATTTGTATTTTATTGTGATCTCTGACAGAGATCACTGAGAGAGAAGGCTAGATAGCTCACAAAATTACAAATCCCAGAATTTCAAAGCATTGAACCATGGCAGTTAGAGTGGTTTCAAACTGGATTATTTCTTCAGTGTGGATGCAGCCTTATTATCTATTGCCAATGCATGGTGGGGGAAGCATAATGACCTGGTCATATTTACACCATTACAGTTTAAATAATTTTTCAGATCAGATTATCTACAGATGATAGAGGTTGACATTCCTTAGCGTTGTGCTGAACAACTTGCACATCTGAGTCATTTGAATTTTTTTTATTTTTTACCAACTTTATTTTTTCCTCTAAGCAGCTTTAACATTGTGCACCTTTCTTTTCTTTTCTTTTCTTTTCTTTTCTTTTCTTTTCTTTTCTTTTTATTTTTTTGCTGGTGGTACACCATAATAATAGAGTTGAACTAATTTGTTAGGTAAAGTGGGGGAGCGAAGACCAAACTATGTATATTGGGGAATGGCTTTCCAATTTTTTAAAATATATATACTTCATTTAGGACACAAGAAGTAAATGCTAAGAGATGTCATAGTCAAGTATATGTGCTAGGGACAATAACAGATTTAAAATGCTACACAGTGCATCTGTAAAAAACCAAAACAAAAACAGAATTTTCTTCACCGCCTGTAAAGGTTAACCCTCTGCTTTTTAAGGGGGGGATAGTCTCAAAATACTTCTGTCTTCCTTTTGCTCAGAAAGTATCTTGACCTACACTGGGAACTAGACCAAGGAGCGTGTCCCTGTTAGTTCTGCTGGATCTCTCAGTGGCATTTTATACCCTCAAGCATGGTATCCTCGTGAGCTGCCTCATTGAGATGGGACCTGGAGGCATTGCTTTGCAATAGATCCATACCTTCCTGGAAAATCAAACCCAGAAGGCATTGCTGTGGGACTCATGTTCTATCCCCTGGCAGTCGGCATGTGGGCTCCTACATGGCTGTTTTGTCCTCCATGCTTTTTAATATATACATGTTAATCACTTGCCATAGTGATGCCCCATTGTATTCCTCCATCAAACTACCCATAGGCATAAATCTTGCATTCCATTTGTAATTCTAATGCAATGGTGTGGGATCTTGGCCCCAACTATGGCCTTAGCTAACCAGGCACAGAATGCCCTCCCTAGTGACACCACTTGGTATGGAAAATTCAAGTGCCCCAAAATTGCTTGCAATTCTTTAAGGGAACATTTCTTTTCTTTTTTTTTCTAATTAATTTTTTCTTGAGTTTTTACAATAAAACACATAAAGTCTGTAGAACAATGATGACGACAATGGTAACAACAACAATTAACTACAAGGGCCAAGGTATGTATCTGATGAATAGTTATTCTGCAGCAGAATCAAAAAATTAGTTCTCAGCAAGAACCAGAGAGTCTGAGCTTGTCAAGGTGCACAGTGTATGTTCAAAGATTCATCTGCGAAGTAGGAGGTTGGATCTGGTGGGAGTGATGATTAACATAGTCAATAAAGATCAATCAGTCTTCTTGAAATGTGTCAGTCGGTTTGAGGCCAAGGCAAAACCTCATTGCAGCAGACAGTTTCTCCATCAACCACATATCCCAAATTCTAGACCATCTGTTCTCAATTGAGAGGTCTCCTGACTTCCAACATTTGGCTACTTCTAATCTGGCAGCAATAATAAGAAAAATGATCATTTTCCTATGTTTCAAGTTAGTATTACTTTTAACAAATATAGAAAGCAAAAGCAAAATTGGACAGAAGTTTACAGTTTGATCAGTGATACATGAAATTTGATAGAGAACTGCATTCCAGAATTTTCTCACTTTAGGACATTCAATCCACATATGCATATAAGAGCCTCTAGATTTACAATGCCTCCAGCAATCTGGAGAGACAGTTTCAACCATTTTAGACAGCATTAGAGGTGTGAGATGCCACCTATGGATGGTTCTCAAAGTATTCTCCCTCACAGATGCTGAATGGGATTTGTATGGGGGCGAAGATCAAATATGAGCCCATGCAGTGTTTGAAATTGTGGTTTTCAATTCTTCTTGCCAAACTAAGTGAATATATTGGCCTTCCCCATAAGTGTGTTCCAGGAGATGTTTGTAGATAGCTGCCGCCGTCCCTTTAGTATGAGAAGCAAAATTCAAACAAAAGTTTTCAAAAAAGGAGAGCGGACGTGGAGATTCTTCTGCTGAGGCTAGGTGTGATGCAAAGGAAGCAATTTGGTGTACTTGAAGCCAGATAATGTTAATTTGTTGTAGGGAGGTTTTTATGGTGTTGGTGGGCTTTGGTAATCCCAGATAACAGGTCTAAGGTGCAATAGAGTCCTAATAATAATAATAATAATAATAATAATAATAATAATAATTTATATACTGCCCTGTGGCGAGCCAATCTGGGTGGTGTACATTGATAAAACATACAGCTTAAAAACAGAACAATTCCCTTCCCCCCCCCCTTAAAACATTATTAAATCAGAGTCAATATAAAACAATTCCTACTAGATAAAAACAACATAAATCTAAAAATGGAAATGAGGCATCATCCCCTTTTCATTGGGCTTTTAAAGAAGATTTGCAGGAACATGTAGGAAGGGTTCCAATAAGGCCAAGGCTGGGCAATTTTTAGTCTGGAAAGGCCTGCCGGAAGAGATCCATCTTGACAGCTTTTTTAAAGCTGTGCAAACATGTTAATTGACGGATCTCTTCCGGCAGGCCGTTCCAGAGTCTAGGAGCGACGATAGAAAAGGCCCTCTGGGAGGTCGCCGTCAGCCTAGAT